TTGGAAGGTATCGAGCAAACCATTAGTCAGTCCATTAAGACACCGCAATGTTTTAACAGTTTTGAAGTTCAAACAAATTCACCCAAAGCATATGCAAAGAAACGGTGAAAAAATAAATAATAAATAAAAATCACAAAATCAGGTAAATGCATGCTACAATCAACTTGCATTTTGTCTGAATGGCACGTTATAGTGTAAGGTGGATTATTTAGAACATTCAGTGCCAAACACAGATATGAGCTGTGCTCAGACTTATACATGGTGTACAACTGGACACAAATTAGGCAAATGACAGTGTCAAACAGTTGATTCCAAACTATACTTTCGACGAGCAAAGACAAGCTGTACTTTAACATGTCATTCTCTTTTACTGATTACAGATTTCTCAAAGGTTTACACTGTATATTCCCTTTGATATACTTATTTACTTAAAGACTCATGTTTTAAAAAATGGTGGCAGCATTTTTTAGCCTTCAAAGAAGCCTTTTGTATGGACGCGTTAGTACTAATTATCTATTAATGTTAATACTGATTATCTGTTTAATCGGTACTCTTTACAGTCTCTATATAAGCACCCTAAACTTTATAAACAGATGTTTATTTATGAACTCAGCTTTTTGCCTCCAAAACAGCATGGACATGGGACCATCTGAGGTGTCCTGTGGTGTGTGGTGCTGGTTTGTTGGTCTCTATGGATCTTGTGTTGATCCTGCAGATCCTCAAAAACAGAATATGGAGGTTTGGAGGCTCCATCAGTGCCTTTGGTCCTTTCTAATGCTCTTCAAGCAATTCTTTAGCAGATTATGTGCATTTGCAGAAATCATTGGCTGGTAGGTCGTAGGGTAGGTCCTAGCTCTGGAGAGATATGCTTTGTTTTGGGGACTTTGATCATTTAAAAGTAGCATAAATATGAATTGCAAGGTTTAATCATGTTTCCAGGATGAGGAAGTATAAGTGTAATATTATTATTATGTATAATGTATTTAGATGTTGCAAATTTGTTGAGTTGAGTGCTTAATGACATTTTTTTTTACTGTACTGTATTTCATGAATGGATTTTACAGTTCACCACTAATCTTAAGTGGTGAAGATGGGCAAAACAAGTTGTCTGTGTGAAAAAGCTGCAGCTCATAAAACACAACAACCAACATAACTTAATAACTTAACTTCATGAGTTAATATGCCTATATATAAAAGCTTCTGGCTGGTTAGATATTTAACAATATTGCTATGCTCCTGATAATATCGCCTTTGTATAGACACAGAATGTCGATGGTTCTGTAAATGCTTTCAATCTTAAATTCTTAGTTCCTATATCTGCAGGTCTTTCCCTACTAATCTTCACCTTGTGTGTTTCCTACACTTACAGCTACCTTTATACTATTTGAGTGTTGATTTACAATAGTTTCCCAAGTTTAGGCTTGAGTTACAGTGATTACGTGTCAGAGTACTAAATATACTGAGTGAAGGGCAGGGAAATGGTTGACGTGTCACAGAGCAAGCTGTTCTGCTATCAATTCAAGGTTCACTGTGACATGTGAACATCACTCTTGACCTAAATAAAGTGTGCTGAAGAATGTAGTTATGACCTGATACCCTGTTTTTAAAAAAGCAAAAATGGTCTCAATGTTAGAATTTCCCTAGTTAAATCATTAACTGAACAGGCATTTTGAAAGAGCAGAAAAGTAAATGAATAAAGATTTTAAAAGTATAATCACTACACAAACCCAACTAGCTGTGTCGCAGATTTCACAATCACTGACTACTCATCAATAAACCCAACCTTTAACTGTGGATCTCCTGATCTTCTTGGATGTTGACTCAGTAGGTAAGAGGTCAATTACATTACACGTTCATTTTTTTCAGCGTGTACAGTTTAGGTATTAAACTTTCCATTTGGAAGAGGAAGCAATATGAAAACCAAAAAAACGCAACATTGCAAACCTCTTTTATTAACTTAAGAGTTATTTCTTTATGTGTACAGGATCACTTACATTAAATAACATGCTGGAATGAATAGTCCAGCACCAAGAAATGAAACCAAAACATGGTTTTGTAATCAGTTAGTTTTGGAACTTGTTACACAAACAAGTGGAGACAGCTCCTTCCTTTTTGCCATACAGGTGTTGCATACACCTGGCTGGCAGGTTAGAATACATTACATGTGTCTTATGTAACTGCCGAACATGAGCTGAACTTAACCGAAGACTTGCACCACAAATTATCTTACTCGATTTTCTTTGTTAAAGGCTAAGGCAGCCGGAGCTATGTAGTTTTTTTTCCTCTTCTGGCCACATTCGCATTTCCTCTCTTTGTCACCAAACCACTCAACCTGAGCTGTCCATCTGGTGTATTTATTTCCAATCGTGTCCACACAGATTTCCCAGCCATCTTGTAAACCTTCACTGCCATCTTTCAGTCACACATTACCGCGGACCCTGCCTGCACCATCTTCTTCAGTGTTTACTGCTTTGGATGGTTGACCTCAGCTATTTAACCTCCTTTATCTTTATTGCCGTAACAAGATCATGATGCATTATTGTCCATCTTCATTATTATACAGGTATGCATACCCAAAGTTTGTGGGTTTGCTTTTATGTGACTCAGTGTGTATAAAGTCTTCGATTTTCTCTCAGAAACATGTAGAATTTAAGGAGCTTTTGGCATAACGTGATGAATGTACATGAGGTCAGTTTTGCTTGGTACACAGAGTGCAGCCCTGACAGTTAAAACCATCTTTAAATGTTTGTATTTTTCCCCTCAAACTATTTTGGGTGTGCCCAGTATTATCTGCCCTGCCACAACTGGTATCACATTGTTGCTTGGTAGCGTGCGTGTGTGATGGGTGGGAGGGCACACAGGTCAAATTATTCTTTGGAGCAACCTCCATTCCCACTACCTACCATATAACCAAATTATCAGCTACAATTTGAGCTTCAAAACCTCAGCCAGGGTGTTGGTTATGCTCCAAGTCACATGAAAATGACCTACTGACTCTTATTTTGTTCTGACAGCTGCTAGTAACAAATCAAAAGACCGCAGCGAACATTGCTCAGGGCTGAAATTGGTCCAGTGGCCCGGAAACTCCTTACATCCCCCAGTTAAGTGATGCTAGCCTTACCAGTGACCCTGATGATGAATGCCAAACAGTTAAACAAAGTGACTAAGAGGTAATGTGTACTGGAGACCTACATGTATCCATTTGGGTTGCAGTTTATTTATAAACCCAGTCTAATGTTGTAGATTTACAAGCCAATGTTAATGATCAACATTTCTCTTGGAGGGTTTCTCCCAACCCACAACCACATTGTACTGCAATCTGAATTTTCAAGACTCCAGCACCACCTTTGGACCCCGAGCCTGAATCAACCTGCATCACAATTCTTAAAATGTCACAGTTGAGTTGTTTTACAGCCCCAACTTAAAAAAAAAAAAAAAAAAAAAAAGAGAGAAAGCACAAAGACATTTGAGAGGTGTAGTTGTTTATTACAGAGAAGGAAACTACCCAGTCCAGACATGAAGTTTAATACAGAATGAGCTACGTGTTCCTTTGGAAGTTGAATGCATGTTGGTGGTGGGGAGAAAAGCAAATGGGGAGCAGAGGAAATAGAAAAGGCACTCTTACACTTACTATAGCCAACGGGATGACCTCCGAGTAGTTTTAAAAAAAAAAAAAAAAAAAAAAGGGGACCAAAACCAAAACTATCCCACACGTGAGATGGACATGTAAACAAGGCTGGTTTCTCTGTACTACACCAACCAAATGTTGCCATCACAGTAACGGGGATAGGCTTGAGCCAAAAAAAATAAAATAATTGCACCAGATATTTTAAAAATGGGATTTTTGATAACTAACCTGCCTAAAAAAATAAGTTCTGCAGTCCAAAAATAAAAAACGGTTGTAAAATAGTCATTTACAATTAGCCAGTGACACTTTCTTGCCGAGGCAGTCCAAAGCTTTTCTGTACAACACTCTGGAGCCTCAAGCCAAACACCAAAATGACCACGTCACAAGAAAGTCAAGACCTAATACCCAAGTTTGTTTAAAGCTGCCTTCTGAAATTTCGGCTTCTCTGTATCCACGCCGAGTTTCAGAGAACAAATAAATAGTGTTGAGGTTTAATTCCTAGCCAATAAGACTGTGGCAAAGAACACACCCCTCTAAGGACAAAGATGAAACAGGTTTCTCTGTAGCTACACCTGCCATCTATATACTTGAGGGAAATTGAGTCTTTAGGTCACTTCAAACCATACAAAAAAAATAATCAAGTGAAACTAGGTTTTTTTTAATGACTAGTTTAAAATTGAATTTCAATGCATAAGCAATTCAATTTTTTTCCATAACCTTCAAGTATAACTAAAACCTCTGCAGACCAGAGCAGTGACAGCAGCTTCTGACTTTTCTGTATTACGTCAGAAAACAGCAAAGGTCTGCAGGGGTGTCTGAGGCCTAATGCTCATTTAAGAGCATGAATAATTAGGATTTGGCTTGCCCCTTAGCCTGCAATGCATAGCATTTTTTTTTCAAAATAGTGAAAACAGCAACAACCGTTGAATTTTAAATTGTGCCATTCTAGCATCCTCCACAAGGATAAGCGGAAAACAAGCTAACAAAAAGGATAAATGAACACTGGGGGTCAAGGAACAACCGTACCAGGCTGACAACAGGAGGAATGGAGAGAAGCTAACAGTTTTAGGGGGGCACAGCCAGATCACACAACTCCAAATATGCACTTGAGAGGACTTTGAAATTAGTTTTCTTTTAGATGTCATGCAGACTCATTTGTAGCACCAGTAAATTAAGAGGAATATCACAAAGCCTATTATACTACCGCCATGACAGTGATAGTGACGATAGTGATGAGTGTGGAATGCCAAAAATGAGGGCTGAACGCCGCTACTCAGCGCATCACAATACGAAGCGGGGGGGGGACCTCAAGACATGGGAGAACAGTAAGTACTACGGTGCATGAGTTCATGGAACTCATCTAGTTCTTTAAAACATCAAGTTTCTGAGGCATGCCTCCTGGGACCCAGCACGACACTGCAATCAGCAGAAAAACAGTAACAAGACAAAAAATGGAGGTGGAGTGAGGAAAGCGGTTAATGTGTTAAATGGTACCAATATGAGAGAAAAGGGCATTTCACCCCCGGAACCTTGGAGGCTTCTCTGTAGTATACACCAACAAGCCTGGGGGTAAAAGCTTAACAGGTTTAGTATTTGAGTTTTTTGGGGACCTCCCAAGGGAAGGAGTCTCGGCCAAAGTGGCCGTAGGCTGCGGTCCTCTGATACAAGGGTTTCTTCAGATCCAGATCCCTGGAATACATAATCAGACTCTTTAGCAGCAGTCACATCCAGTGACCTCAAATGCACACACAGGCATAATACTCGAATTAGCCGGTGGGGAGTGGCGACAGCAAAAAAAAAATAAATTAGATGGCTGGCTGGTAAAGAGGGGAACGTGAAGACTCAACACTTACCCTGCTAACCACAGGACATTGCAGCTTGCAGAAACCAAACTCCTCCCATTTATAAAACCACTAACTGAGCTAAATAATCCAAATACAAGACCCCCCACTAAATAAGCTGTTTGCCCCCACTGAAGCCTAGGTGTTTAACCTAATGCAATTTGTTTATTACTTCCCCCCCTATATATAGTTTATTTGGATATAATAAAAATGTAAATAAACTACAGATTGGTAACTAAGGTACAGCAATCCTCCAGGAGCTGTGCTATCAGTGAGGAGGTGGCTTCAAAGGTTATACATTACCTGACGATGACTCCAGGCCGGAGATCAAAGTTCTTCTTCACGATGTCAAGTAGCTCCCTCTCACTCTTGTGGGATGTCCCATAGTGGAAGATAGAAATCGAGAGGGGGTGGGCAACTCCAATGGCATACGACACCTAATACAGCACACATGTGTTATATCAAGCAGGAAAACAGAAAACTTCAGGCAGGAGTCTGCTGCAGCCTTGCTCCCTGAAATAAAGACTGGGGGGTTTTGGCTGCGTTTCCACCACAGAAACTTTCCCCGGAGAACATGAACCTTTCGAAGATTGGGCTAGGGGTTTAAATAAGTTTTCAGCTGATTTTAAAAAAAACAAAAAAAAAAAAAAAACCTAATCTACACCCAGCTTTTAGAGCACAGTGAAACCACAGCTACCCAGAAATCTGATGAACCCCCAATAGGACAAAATATTAAAAAAAAAAATGTTTCTGAACATGCCGGGTGGAAACGCAGCTTCTACCACTACCACTCACCTGGACCAGCACCCTCCTGCAAAGCTCAGCTTTCACCAGGGACTTGGCCACCCAGCGTGCTGCATAAGCAGCAGAGCGATCCACCTTTGTGTAATCCTTCCCAGAGAAGGCTCCGCCACCATGGGCTCCCCAGCCTCCGTAAGTGTCTACAATGATCTTACGTCCGGTGAGGCCAGCATCTCCCTGCAATGAAGGAAACAAGGTAAACTCAAAGCTCAATAGGTCCCGATAAACAAAACACGCCAGGAAAAGGTATTACCTGTGGACCTCCAATAACAAAACGACCACTGGGCTGCAGGTGGTAGATGGTGTCATCATCCAAGTAAATGCAGGGAACAACCGCCTTGATGACCTTCTCCTTCAGAGCATCTCTCATCTCCTCCAAGCAAATATCCTCATCGTGCTGGACAGAGATGACAATAGTGTGCACACGCACTGGCAGCATGGCACCGCGGTCCTGGCGATATTGTACAGTAACCTGTGAAAAGAAACAAAATGAGCAACTTTTTAGAACAACCCATTTTGCTAGTGAAAATTAGAAAATAAAATGATGAATACCTGTGTCTTTGAGTCTGGTCGGAGCCATGGAAGGGTGCCATTGCGGCGCAGTTCAGCCATCTTGGCATTCAGTTTGTGGGCAAGAACGATTGTGAGAGGCATGCACTCCTCAGTCTCATCAGTGGCATATCCAAACATCAAACCCTGCAGAGTGAGACAATTATAGTTTTTAAAAGCCGTTAAAGGACAATAATATGTTGTATTTGTGGTTTCAGAACACTCAGGCCAATACTAACCTGATCCCCAGCCCCGATGTCCTCCTCATTGCGATCAATGTGAACACCCTGAGCAATGTCAGGAGACTGCTGCTCCAGCGCCACAAGAACATTGCAGGTCTTGTAGTCAAAACCTAGGCAGAACACACAGTAGGAGTTTAAGAACAGTCCTTACAGAAAAAAAAAAGAAACAACAAAATCAGTAAAGCAATGCACACCTTTGGAGGAGTCGTCATATCCAATTTGGCGGATAGTGTCACGAACAATTTTCTGGTAATCCACCGTTGCCCGTGAGGTAATCTCACCTGCCAGTAGGATCATCCCAGTCTTGGCAATGGTCTCTGCATGAGGCAATTCACATGTAATTCAATACCCTGGTGTCAACACAGGAGTGAAGCCAAAGCAAACAAGATAGGAAATATTTACTTACCACATGCAACTTTGGCATCTGGATCCTGCTTCAGATGGGCGTCCAAAACGGCATCGCTTATCTGGTCACAGATTTTGTCTGAAAAACAAAAACAATAACGTGAGTAAACGGCGACATTAATCACATCACAGGGTCTAAACGTAAAATGCCGCACGTCGGCGCAAACTGTCCCCCTTCATACTCAAGAATAGACCAGAGTCTCGGCGGTCGCCATGTCAGCATGCGCACATGTGGCGTCAAAGAGAGCCCGCGCAACTCCACGGAGACCGGAAGGCAAGCACGGTACACTTATAAATGTTTGAACCAACGACATATCGACAGACTGATTAAATGCAGAGTATATCTTCATCTTCAGGGATGAAGACGACTGTGTTAGGAGTCACCTACACAAACAGCCGCGTGCTTCATAAATAGGGACGGAAGGCAGGATGAGAAAAATAAATAAACCAGTTAAAACGAATAACGATACTGTAAATAAGAAACAATTCACATGACAATTTCATCATGTCCACTATGACTATTGTGCTACATTTGCTGCCGGTGGCGCAGACACGCGACAGAATGACTTATTCACTTAAGATTAGCTAGCTTACATCAGCTAGTAGCGCGTGGTCTCGAAGCCGGCGAAGGTAGAAGAAGAAGAAAAAGGGCCGCGATGTTGTCATTTCACTCCCTATTTGTTCATTTTAATACAGTAATAGGCTATAGTTTGTGGGACAAACTATTAAAAAAAAAAATAGCAAGAAATGTAGCTTATTTCATCAGCCAGAATGATAGAAGGCCGACATCTCGCGTCTTACCGGGATGTCCTTCTCCGACGGACTCCGAGGTGAACAAGAAGCAGTCCTCGTCAATGAGGGAGTTATGAAAACCATTAATCTGTCCGTTCATCATCGTTAACGGCTGCCACTGGTACGAAAACGTTAAATTACGGAGTTGGTAACGTCTTTAGTCGGTATTACGTATTACTGGCACTGCCTCGGCGGTTTTCCCAGCTCTTCAAAGGACGACCCCTAGTGTCTCGGTGTTCCGATCCTCAAGCTTGAGCCTCGTTGCGCAGAGCAGCTGTATTTATCCTGCGAAGTCAGACGCCATGACGTAACGAGTAGGCGGACCGTACCATTGAGCCTATGAAGGGGCCGCACCGACCGAGAACGCGGTGCTGAATTTGATAGCAAACACGTGCCGAGTAGATGCTACAGTGACATGGACGATATGCAGGTTTTTCCCTAGAAATAATAGTATAATACCTAAAGTATATGGACGTGTGAAGGTGTGGCAAGAATGATGATCTTGTAAATCCGTCCAGGTTGTCCCACCGTATGTGGTAGTTTGGTCAGGTCAGAAGCCCACCTTTAACAGCTAAAACTATTAAAGAATCATTTTTGCTCTGATCTGACTATAAAACAACTCCTTTTGAGATCCTAAACTTATTTTGTTTACTCCTGAAACTATGGGTGGAATTCCTTTTTAGGCATAGATCTATTATAGGGTGGCGGCAGACTACCAAGAGGGAAATGTGGAGTGAAGCTAAGCTGAATACGCATAAACTGTGTAAACAGTAGATTTTGGTGCTTCAGTCAGAGTGAGCTGCCAGTGACTGAGTGAAAATTGTAAGGTGAGGAGAGGGGGAGCATTTATTTGGGTTCTAAAGTGGCACAGAGTTTGAAAACCGGTGCCTTCCACCCAAACACATCCTTCTTGAATTTATTAATGCCTTGGACTAAAAAAGAATACAGCATTCTTGTCTTCCAATACAAATATCAAAACTCAAACTGAATTCTCAAGTTACAGGCCACAAATTGAACACCAAGGATTGACCGGCTGGGGCTGAGCTCGCATGTATGCTGGACTAATAAAAATTCAGGTTAGACAACAAATAGAAAGCATTGTAAATAGTCGGATATCGGGTAATGTTTGTTTTGTATAATTCCATGCAGCTCCTATTAAGTGCCATATTTTAGTTTTTAAGTATTTGATCATAGGCTTGAGTGTACTGGATGAGAAGTGGGTTTCCTGGAAACAATTATTAAAGTTTGGTATAAACCAGCAGTGGCGTAATTAATCTGATAAGTTGCATTAGTTTTGCTATCGTGGGTACATCAGAACATTCGCTTCCCTGGTGACACAGCCAGAATAACCTGGAAATGCATTTCCGCCAATGAAAATTGGACTGTTGGGCAGGGGGGCAGATGCTGTGGATATTATATCTAAACACAACTTGATTATATTAGAATAAAAATGCTCCTCTCTCTCTCTCTCACGCTCCAGGGCCTGTTATTTAATATAATCAACATCTATGTTTTGTGAGCATGTTGTATCTTTGTTAGTCCCAGATGGATTTAGTTATTATCTCTAAAACTTAGTACCTAAACAAAAGCAAAGAAGTAACAACATAAAACAAAGCAGATAATAAGATTTACAAGATTTCATTCCACTTTAGGAGACCAGAGTCTATCTATCTTTAGTGTGGGAACATTGTATTTCTTCACAGGAACACATAGATCTTTGTTTTTTACCCACAAAAGATAAGTTTATCACAAATCTGATATGCATGTAGAAGCTGACAAAACACTTACATAATATCTTAGTGAATCACTTGTTTGCTGAGACATCTTGCATAAATCTATTCTGCATGTCATTGTGAATATTGACATTCTGCATCCATTTCTATTTTTTTTCATTAGATATTACAGTGACATAACAGTCACAGTGACATAACATTTACAGAGGTTTAGACCACACCCACCCTCCCACAGTGCCTTTTGAATCAGAGGATTTTCATTGTGAATTTATTAGCTTGGTCAGTATTGCCTTGTATAGTGACACTAAACCAAGCAAATCAGTCCCTGACAGTGTTGCATCAGTGCACTCATCATGAATGTGCAGGGTGGACAGTTTCCTTTCACAGGGCAAAAGTATGATGCAAGATGTACCTGCTGTTGCTTTCTGCACAATGTGTTTGTTGCCGACCATTTTAGACTACAGAAAGTCTAAAATAGCAAACAATAGCAAATCAAGAAGTTTTGATTTCTTTTCATTAGATTAATAATGGACTAAAGGTCCCCTTCACTGCTTGTTATCTTTGAAATAAATGTAGCTCGGTAGTGGCGCTACTCTATTTACCTTTATAATGACATCCCAAAGGAGATATGAATATGCAGTAATTTGTGCAAAGGATTTTACAATGTAGACTCTGTTTCTTGTCATTTCTTTGCAAAAGCCCAGAGCCATGCCTGGTTTTCTTTATGTTTTGCTAGTAAAATGGGAAAGAGATATAGTTTTCAATGTATGGTTAAGCTTGTTAAACATGTGCAAACATACATAACAACATAAGGCAAAAACAGAGTTTGTACAATTCCAGTGGGCTTAAAAGTCAATATTTGGTATGAGCACTTTTATATTCCAGCACAGCATGAAATCTCTTAGGAAATTCTCCTGTAATTTCTTTAAGTGGCCTTCAAGAATAGTTCTCCAGGTTTCTTGAAGGACATTCAATGCACTTCTTTGTTGAGTGCCTTTTGTTCTATTCTCTGGGGAGGTCCAATCCATGACTGATTGTATGCCATTGTGTCGTATTCTATCCAAGTATGCTTTTGCTACACTGGCAGTGTGTTTGGGATAATTGTCACACTGAATAATTAAGCCATTGCAAATCAGTTGCTTTCCAGATGGTGCTGCATGGTGCATACGATACTTATCTTTATAATTCAATCACTTTGAATATGATCCAAATGCCACTGTCTGGAATGTAGCCCCAAACCATGCAGCCTCCACTATGTTTTACATGTGGGTGTAGACACTCACTCCTGACCTCCATTACGTTAGCCTTTATGTCTTGTTTCCCTTCCTTAAGAACGACATTGAGAAACAGTCACCAGAGACCATTTCTAAGGAGGCTGCAGCAAACATGGTTCCATTGAAGGGTCATTTGCATCTCTCGGATCTTGTGTCTTCCTGTTTCTTAACAGCATGACTTTCATTTCACGCAAATAATTGTGTAATAATAATTGCGTCTTCTGCCTTCCTCCTCCATCTATCCAGTTTCCTCATATTTTTTTCAGGACACACTGCACACCATGCTACAGAAAAATACTATTTTATGCCTGTTAAACTGTGGTCTTTGGGATTTTTTGGGAAGAAAAATATATGTTTTTGGAAAAGGTTCCTAACAGAGTCTCTAAAGATGCAATTTTAAATTGTTTCTCATCTGTTATTTGTGGACACAACACTGGTTAATTACTTGAGTAAGGTCCCTTTAAAAAAGACAAAAAAAAAAGACCCATAAGGCAGTATTAAGTGGCTCAAACGAAAATACATTCTTCTGAAAATGGTTGTCAATATAAAATTGTACTTAGTAGTCAGTATAATCTTTTTGTGATATATAAGTTTGCATATTATAGAATACTGCATGATGACCCTTTTATGACTTAGACTGTTGTTGGAATCAAGACTTGCTTTATAAATTCTTTCTCACAGTGATAATAGCTGAGCAAGCTGTTATCATTTCACTCCTGCCAGGAAGAGGGGAGCTGGATGTTCTTATCTTCAAGAAGAGGGGCCACGTCCTTCAGAATAACACACACACACACACATACACCTGAACCACTTTTATCTTCACTCCCTACATACTAACATTCCTCTGTTAATGAATAGACGTATTCACTGTTGTATTACTTTTGTATATAAATAAAGGCAAGTGCAGGAACAAAGCGCACATTCACAGGGCCCCCACTCTGGTGTGAGCGTTCTGTGATCATGCCCTTGCAAGTAAAAACTGCAGCGTCTGTGTGTTTCTACCTTTAGATTCTTAGCTGAAGAAGTGTCTTTAGAATAAATCTCTTGACAATGGTCAAGATAAAGTCTGGACTGAAAATGAGTGAAAAAGCAACCATTGTCGAAGGAGAAAAAAAAAAGCAGGTACTTTATGCATGGTGCTGTACTTTGGTACATTACTGTGGTACTGCATTTTATAATGTATTTTGCAAGTTAACTCACTGTTTTTTTTGTCTGTATCATTCTCTGTGTTATCTCTCCCATAGACACAGCTTTCAGAAAAAAACAAAAACAAACACCTTTCAGTCAAACTAATTAACCTGAACGATAAGACATGATAAGATAGTTACACATTTTTTAATACAATGATATTAAATATGAAACAATTAAAGAAACAGACAGACAACTTGAAAGGGAGAATATTATTTCTTTGGACAGTATTGCACTAGTTTCCTGGTTGGAGGACAAAGCAAGCAACCCTTTAACAAACTTCCTGCTTCTGTGATTAGACGATCAGAGATAAACCATCATCCTAGGCCAACAGTCACAGGATCACACAGGCTTGCTGTATTTTTGTAGTTTCGTTTACAATTATACAAACACCTGTACACTTAACAATCTACACGTCTGACAGTGAAAGCAGAATTTGATATGAAATTACTAATATGTTAAGTGGAGAAATCATCATTTGTCAAAAAAAGAAAAATAATCATTATCAATATTCTGTAATATTGTTTCAGTAGAAATAACGCTCCCTTGCTGGCCAGCAGAATTTAGGCTCACTTTACAGTTAAATAAGAAAATAAATACAGAATTTCAGTAAAATAATCTTTGCGGCATAGATTGTCTCCTATGTGATAATTTCTACCATACTTCATATTTATCCTTTACATATATTTTCTTCTATTGTTGCCACATAAATTACAAAATAATAACATTCTGTAGACAGTTTTCATTAATATTTCACAATACATAGTCACTGGCATTGACTGCAATACAGAACATGATCATCTACACTATCTAAAATGTGAGACTTGTCTTTACACGTTATTTCCAACAAAGGTCCAATAGATTTATTTCCCATTTTAAAACCAAAGAATTACATTTAAATACAATGA